TTTTTTAAATTTAACTTGTCCAGAGTTAATTGAAGCTTTTCTTGATTATTAAAAAGCTGGTAGAGAAAAAGATGGTACAAAAAGAAAATCTGTATCTCACAGTGAATCCGATGTCAGCAAATCACAGAAGAAAAGAGATGCTGCTGACAAACCAGGAGGATTTGCCATAGGTCTCGATCCTGGAAGAATAATCGGTGCCACAGATGGCAGTGGAAAACTGATGTTTCTCATGAAGTGGAAAGATTCAGGTGAGGTAGACTTCATGGTGGCAAAAGCGGCAAGTGTGAAGTTTTCTCAATGGTAATTGCTTTTTTTTTTTGAGACGGTCTTGCTCTGTTGTCCATGCTGGAGTGCGGTGGTATGATCTTGGCTCATTGCAACCTCCACCTCCTGGGTTCAAGTGATTCTCTCGCCTCAGCCTCTCAAGTAGCTGGGATTACAGGTGCTCGCCACCATGCCCGGCTAATTTTTGTGTTTTTAGTAGAGACGGGGTTTCACCATGTTGGGTTGACTGGTCTCAAACTCCTGGCCTCAAGCAATCAGCCCACCTCGGCCTCCCAAAGTGTCAGGATTACAGGCATGAGCCACTATGCTTGGCCAGTAATTGCTTTTTATGAAGAGAGACTAACTTGGCATTTTTTGTCCAGAAGATGAAGCCTAATAATTGTTCACATATGTAATATGAAACATTTGGGTCTTGCTTTTTGATTTACTAATGTGACAAAATAACTACATTCTAATGAAAATCAAGTTTGATATGTTGTTTTGAAAGTAGTGTTGGAAGAGTTGTTGGGTTTTTTTTCCATCAATAATACTGGTTACTTTGAATAAATAAAAGATTTCCGTAGTTGCTTCCTTTATTAGAAAAGAACATTTGATACCATGGTATATTATTTCTTCTGCATTAGAGAACAGCTTTTCTATATGTTGGGGAAAATTTTCAGTCATTACTCCATCAGAACTTATGGTTTTTTATTTTTATTTTTTGAGACGAAGTTTCGCTTTTGTTGCCCAGGCTGAAGTACGATGGCGCGATCTCGGCTCACTGCAACCTCTGCCTCCTGGGTTCAAGCAATTCTCCTGCCTCAACCTCCCAAGTAGCTGGGATTACAGGCATGCGCCACCATGCCTGGCTAATTTTTGTATTTTTAGTAGAGGGGAGGTTTCTCCATGTTGGTCAGGCTGGTCTTGAACTCCTGACTTCAGGTGATCCGCCCTCCTTGGCCTCCCAAAGTGCTGGGATTATAGGCATGAGCCACTGCACCTGGCCGACCTTGTTTTCTTATAAGTCTAAGGAAAATTCTAGATTTTTATTTTTATTTTTATTTTTTGGTGTGTGTGTGTACACATAAAATGCACATGTAAATGGTTTTTGAAAAAAAAATTCACCGAAACAAAAGCCACAGGTAAACTCATGTTTCTGAGATGCTATTATTCTAAGCAAGCTATGAGATAATCACTTCAAGTTAAAGTGAAAATTTTCCTGAAGCCATACTTTTCAAGTGAAATCAGTAATTCTACTTAATAGGACAATTTAAATTGGCTAATTTTAGAGCGTCTATATCTACAAATGAAATGGTTTGTTTGCAAAATTCCTAAAAGGATTTTTTTTTTTTCACTGCCATCACTGGAGGTTTCCCCATCCAGATGAGGAAACGATACAAATCCAGTGTGTTTTAATTAGCTAAACAAAACTGAGTTAAATGAATATTTGACAATTTCTCCAGAGGGCCATTCCTTAACAAAAAGTTGAAATCTCTGTTGCTATATTGACTAAAAGGTCATGATTCATGGAATATATAAGACTTGGCTCATAAAAACCTAATCAGATGGTTAGAGGTGTTGGCAATCTAGGACCTGCTGCCATAAATGTGTGAACAACCTTTTGGAATGAAAACTATTGACCTGCATGTTTCTTCTTTACCCCAATGTAGGGATTCAATCAGGCTGGTGGGAAAAATATTAGAGATCGTTATAGAGATGGATGCAAATCTTCCTGGAAGGCCGAGAAATTTACATAACTTTGATAATAGATCTGGCTAAAGGCAGCCTGTTCCCTGTACCTTTAGTTAAATAAATTAAAGTAGTAACAAAAGAATGTGGGGAAGTTATCTAGCTAGCTTGTTTACTCATGTGGTCTTAAGACTAACCTTTGATGTACGGTGGGAGCTTAAGTGCTTTCTACTCAGGAAGTCCACAATGTCAATTACCCTCTAGTGGTGTTGACTCAAGTCTTTGTCAATTAATCTTTACCAGTAAATGCGAGTCTCCCTAGCTGGTCAGGGCAACTGTTTACAGGACTCTGCTGGAGTCTGTAAGAGACTCGGGGACACTCAGCTGGACTGGCAGAGCAGAGCATCTGTGTGTCAGTGTACCTCATTCATCTGTCCCTGGGTCAGGGGTCTGCAAAGGACAGACCTCCTGCAGCTGGTGTCCCCGTGTGAGGAGCGCTACCACACCCCAACTCGTTCCTTACATGTAGACTCAGTATTTTCTTTATTGGTTCAGCAAAAGCCAGGAAAACAACTCTGTAGCAAGCAGAATGTTATTGTACTATATATTGTTTAATTTATTGTAAATACTGGTGAACAGTGGTCAATAAATAGTTTTATATTCCTTCAAAAAAGAAAGAGAAAGAAAGAAAGAAAGGAAAGAAAGAAGAGAGAAAGAGCGAGCTTGCAGGGTGTGCATAGTTGTCTGCAAACGCTATGCCATTCTGTATTAGGGGCTTGAGCACCTGTGACGTTGGTATCTTCAGGAGAGGGGCCTGGAGCCAATCCCCCACGGATACTGTGGAATGACTGTATTTGGATTTTGATAGAAAGCTGAGAAACCCGGAATGTCAGAGACATCCTCTCAGCAGTAGGAAGCCGAGTTAGTATCAGGAGAAGCCAGTGGTTAAATTCACAGTCTTTTTACACACAAGAGCAAAACACACTTTACAACAACGGTGGAAAAACTCCGTGATCGCTCACTGAAGGGAATTAAAGATGCAGTGATAGTTACAACACGGCAACAGCATATATTGACAAGCGAGATCTCATCCAAGAGTTTAGGGTATGGTCGGGGGAGCCAGAGCCTCTCTGAGGAGGCATCCTCCTTTGAAAGCACTCACCTAGCCCCTGCGTCCACGAACGTGGGAAAAGTGTGGGAGACCGCAGAGTCTCAGCAACCCCTCATTCCAGTTTGTCTCCTTAGACAGCATCCACATCCCCCATCCTCCATCAGCTCCTTTTCCGGCTTCCCGATCTTGCAGTTGTTTTTGCAAAGCGGAGAGAGGTGACTGCGCTTAGGACAATGCTTCACATTGCCAGGAGAGGGCAGCAGATCACGCCCCCATTCCCCGCGCTGCCTTGGCGCTGTCCAGGATTCCAGTGAATTTTCAAGGGTTGTTGAGTGGTCACAGGAGCCAGGCTGTGTGCCAGGCACTGGGAGTGCAAAGCCAACTGAGATACGGGGCCCTGCTCTGCAGGAGGCTGTGGTCTAAGAGGGCGAGGCAGCCATGGAAACATACAGGTCCAAACAGTGGGGTGAGGCGCTGGGGCAGAAGGCTCTTCAGGGGCTGTGGGGTCCCCAGGAGGTAGGGAGAGGAGGAGTATCAGAAAACCCCCAGGTGGGGCCAGGCGCGGTGGCTCAGGCCTGTAATCCCAGCACTTTGGGAGGCCGAGGCCAGTGGATCACTTGAGGTAAGGAGATCGAGATCAGTTTGGCCAACATGGTGAAACCCTGTCACTACCCAAAATACAAAGATTAGCAGGATGTGGTGGCTGGAGCCTACAGGCTACTCTGGAGGCTGAGGCACGAGAATCACTTGGACCCTGGAGGCGGAGGTTGTGGTGAGCTGAGATCACGCCTCTACATTCCAGCCTGGGTGACAGAGCTAGACTCTGTCTCAAAATAAACAAACAAAACCCCACACAGCCAGCAGGAAGAGGTGCTTGAGCTGAGTCTGGGAAGCAGGTAGGTTTTTCTGGTTCCTAGGCCAGGCTGCACACACCAGGCAGGGGAGTCGGGGCTCAGCGTGACACTACAGGGTGCACTCAGGCTTGAACACAGGGCACTGGGGGCAGGAGAAGGATCTCAGAAAGGGGGAGGATCACGGAAGGCTGTCCTCCATGGCCACACTAAGACCTGAGACCTCTTGGGCTCAGATGATCCTCCTGCCTCAGCCTTCGGAATAGCTGGGACTACAGGTGTGTGTCACCATGCCCAACACATTTCTTAATTATTTGGAAAGATGGAGTCTGCCTATGTTGCCAAGGCTGGTCTCAAAATACTGGGCTCAAGTGACCCTCCTGCCTCAGCCTCCCAAAGTGCTGAGATTGCAGATGTGAACCACCACGCCTGGTCCATTTCAATTATTTTTAGTGTATTTGGTATATTTACAGAATTGTGCAACCATCACCAACATCTACTTTTGGAACATTCTGTCATCCCAGAAACTCGTGCCCGTCAGAGTTACTTTTCATTCTCATCCCCAGCCCTAGGCAACAAGTTATCTACTTTCTGTCTCTATATTAGGCTCTTCTGGATATTTCATATAAACTGAGTCAGGCAATGTGAGTTCTTTTGCATCTAGCTTCTTTCACGAGGCATTGCATTGTTGAGGCTGAACAGTATTCCATTGTATATTCCATGTTTTAATCCCTTTGCCAGTTGATGGCCATTTGGGTTGTCTTGACCTTTTGGTTCTTGTGAATGGTGCTGCCATGAACGTTCACATACAAGCCTCTGTGTGGACGTACATTTTCATTTTTCCTGGGTACATACCTAGAAGTGAAGTTGCTGGGTTTAAGGCAATTCTATTTTTAACATTTTGAGAAACTGTCATACTATCTTCCAAAAAAGCGGCTGCACCATGTTATTTATTTATTTATTTATTTATTTATTTATTTATTTATTTATTTATTTTGAGATGGAGTTTCACTCTTGTTGCCCAGGCTGGAGTGCAATGGTGCAATCTCAGCTCATTGCAACCTCTGCCACCCAGATTCAAGTGATTCTCCTGCCTCAGGCTCCCAAGTGGCTAGGATTATAGTCAGCTAATTTTGTATTTTTTTATGGTGAAAAGATATACATATATTCAGAATTAGCCAGCTGGACTCAGTTTAGATGATCCCAATTTTGTTGGCAACATTCAAAGCATCGTAATCAGAAGCTGACCGAACATACACCTTCCTCTCTCCATCAGGCCAAATCAGGGTGTTGAATTTGGCCACATCCATGTCACAGAGCTTCTTCACAGCCTGTTGGATCTGGTTCTTGTTGGCTTTAACGTCCTTAACGGACACAAGCATGTTGTTGTCTTGTGTCTTCTTCATGGCCGACTCAGTGGTCAGCAGAAACTTAATGACAGCATAGTGGTCAAGCTCATTTCTCCTGGGGGCACTCTTCTGAGGATATTTGGGCTGCCTCCAGAGTTGCAGTGTCTTGGGCCACTGGGATGTTGGTGACATGTAGATCTTCTGTTTTTTGTGGCTGTGGACACCTTTCAACACTGCCTTCTTGGCCTTCAAAGCCTTGGCTTTGACTTTGGTTTTAGGAGGGGCAGGAGCTTCCTTCTTCGCTTTCGGTGCCATCTTGTGAAAAAGTAATTTTGTATCTTTAGTAGAGATGGGGTTTCACCGTGTTGGTCAGGCTGGTCTTGAACTCCTGACCCAGGCTGGTCTCGAACTCCTGATGCACCCGCCTCAGCCTCCCAAAGTGCTGGGATTACAGGTGTGAGCCATTGCACCTGGCCTGCACCATTTTATATTTTCACTGGCAGTGTATGAGGATTTTGATTTCTCCACATCCTCTCCAGCACTTGCTGTTATCTGCTGATTGGTTCTAGTCATTCTAGTGGGTGTGAAGTGACATCTCATTGTGGATCAATTTACTTTTTCCTAGTGACTAATGATGTTGAGCACTTTTTAATGTGCTTATTGGACATTAATATATATTCTTAGGCCAGGCACAGTGGCTCACACCAGCACTTTGGGAGGCCGAGGTGGGCGGATCGCGGAGCTAGGAGTTGGAGACCAGCCTGACCAACATGGTGAATTGTTGGGAGCAGGCCCCAAAATCTGACCATAAACTGGCCCCAAAACTGGCCATAAACAAAATCTCTGCAGCACTGTGACATGTTCGTGATGGCCATGATGCCCACGCTGGAAGGTTGTGGGTTTACCAGAATGAGGGCAAGGAAAACCTGGCCCATCCAGGGCGGAAAACCGCTTAAAAGCATTCTTAAGCCACAAACAATAGCATGAGCGATCTGTGCCTTAAGGACATGCTCCTGCTGCAGATAACTTGCCAGACCCATCCCTTTATTTTGGCCCATCCCTTTATTTCCTATAAGGAAGACTTTTGGTTAATCTATAATCCATAGAAACAATGCTTATCACTGGCTTGCCATCAATAATTATGTGGGTAAATATCTGTTCATGGCTCTCAGCTCTGAAGGCTGTGAGACCCCTGATTTCCCACTCCACACCCTGTATTTCTGTGTGTGTTTCTTTAATTCCTCTAGTGCCACCGGTTTGGGGTCTCCATGACTGAGCTGGTCTCGGCAAGTGGTGCCCATACGTGGGGCTCAAACCCGGGTCGGAGGGTTGCTGGAGCAATGGTTGGAGAATGTGGCACTAAGCTGGAGGACACCCGAATAATCTTAAGCAATCCCCGTGGTGGGTAAGAAGGGGAGCTCGGAAGCATCAGGGTAACAATGGGACAAGTGTGGGCTTTGGTTCATTCCACCTTGGAACCTTTTCACACTAATGATAAGGAGGAAGGAGAGTATAATGAAGTAACAAAAGAGGTTACAGAGCAGGTTTTTTGCCAGCTAAAGCTAAAGTGGCAAAGGAGGAAGAGGTTTCTCCCTACCCTTCTGTACCCCCTCCTTATTTTGAAGAAAAAGATTGGCTTGACCCTCTAGATCTTTCTTTTCCAGAGGACCCTGGGCAAAAAGTAGTTGTCCCAGTGACTGTTCGGCCTCAAGCTACCGCTCTCAGTTCTATTCAGGCAGGAATTCAGCAAGCTAGAAGAGAGGGTTATTTAGAGGCTCGGCAGTTCCCTGTTAGAATACAACCCCCAGATCAATAGGGAAATATTATAGCTACATTTGAGCCTTTTCCTTTTAAATTACTCAAAGAATTTAAATAAGCTATTAATCAGTATGGACCAGGTTCTCCTTTTGTAATGGGACTGTTAAAGATTGTTACTGTTTCCAGTCGGATGATTCCTTCTGAGTGGGACGCTCTTACTCGAGCTTGTCTAACTCCTACTCAGTTCTTACAATTTAAAACTTGGTGGGCAGATGGAGCTTCCATTCAGGCTGCTCACAACGCCTAGGCCCAACCTCAAATTAATATAACTGCAGACCAACTTTTAGGGGTCGGTGGCTGGGCTGGTTTAGATGCACAAGTGGTCATGCAGGTCGATGCCATAGAATATAGTGGTCAAACTCATTTCTCCTGTGTGCATTAGAGCTTGAGAAAAAAAATAATTTCAGGAGGAGAACAATACCCTTCCTTTAGTGCTGTAAAACAAGGACCAAAAGAACCATATGCAGATTTTATAGCTTGGCTACAGGAGTCTCTTAAAAAGGTGATTGAAGATTTGGCTACTCAGGATATAGTGTTGCAGTTATTAGCTTTTGACAATGCTAATCCCGATTGCCAGGCTGCTCTGTGACCTATTCGAGGGAAAGCACATTTAGTTGATTATATCAAGGCCTGTGACAGTATTGGAGGCAATCTGCATAAAGCTACTTTGTTGGTGCAAGCTATGTCAGGACTGAAAGTGGATAAAGGAAATACTGCATTTCCTGGAGCTTGTTTTAACTGTGGGAAGCATGGTCATACTAAAAAAGAATGTAGAAAAAAATCAGTGAGTCAGGCCGCTAGACAGAGGAAAAAAGAAAACTGCTAAGCCTGAAATATGTCCAAAATGTAAAAAAGGAAAACACTGGGCTAATCAGTGTCACTCTAAGTTTGATAAAGATGGGAACCCAATTTTGGGAAACGCCATGAGGGGCCCGTCCCGGGCCCCATTCCAAACTGGGGCATTTCCGGCTCAGGCCATTCCCTCAACCCTGTGCAATGTCTGTCCCCTGCCACAGCCGGTAGTGCCGCAGTAGATTTATGCTGCACAAAAGCTGTGAGCTTTCTGCCTGGGGAACCCCCACAAAAGGTCCCAACAGCAGTCTATGGACCCTTGCCACTGGGGACGATAGGATTACTTCTGGGAAGGGCTAGTTTAAGTTTAAAAGGAGTACAAATACATACAGGAGTCATTGATTCAGATTACAATGGGGAAATTCATATCGTTATATCTACTTCTGTTCCCTGGAAAGCAGAGCCAGGAGAGCGCGTAGCACAGCTCCAGATTGTGCCGTATGTGGAAATGGGGAAAAGTGAAATTAAATGAACAGGAGGATTTGGAAGCACAAATAAACAAGGCAAAGCAGCTTATTGGGTGAATCAAATTACTGATAAATGTCCTACCTGTGAAATAACTGTTCAAGGAAAGAAATTCAAAGGTTTGGTAGATACAGGAGTGGATATTTCAATCATTTCTCTACAGCACTGGCCGTACATGGCCAATTCAACCTGCTCCATTTAACACAGTTGGAGTTGGTGAAGCCCCTGAAGTATATCAAAGTAGTTATGTTTTGTATTGTGAAGGGCCCGATGGACAACCTGGGACTATTCAGCCTACTGCAACTTCTGTACCTATAAATGTATGGGGAAGAGATTTATTACAACAGTGGGGAGCACAAGTTCTAATTCCTGAGCAATTATACAGCCCTCGAAGTCAACATATGATGCATGAAATGGGGTATGTCCCTGGTATGGGACTAGGAGAAAATTTGCAAGGTTTGGAGGAATCTCTTTGAGTGGAAAGACAAAGTTCCCGCCAAGGTTTAGGATATGATTTTTGATGGTGGCCATTGTTAGCCTACAGAACTTATACCTGCTTTTAATATGCCTATTAATGTGATTTCTGATTCTTCATACATGGTTCATTTCACATAGTTAATTGAAAATGCTCAGTTACGATTTCATACAGTTGAACAACTGATGACAAAAACAAAAAAGGGGGAGAAACAGGGATGACGGGACACCACATATACAGTTGAATCTAGCATTATTAACTTTAAATTTTTTGAGCCTGCCCAAAGGCCAGATGTTATCAGCAGCTGAACAGCATCGACAGAAACCAGCTGCAGACAGAAGCAGAACAACCGGTTTGGTGGAGAGATCTGATAACAAAAAGTTGGGAAATAGGTAAAATAATAACTTGGGGGAGAGGTTATGCTTGTGTTTCTCCAAGTCAAAATCAACAGCCAATTTGGATATCATCAAGACACATGAAACCTTATCATGAGTCAGATGCCAAGGAAGAGACTCCAGGAGGATCCTGAGGACCCCCCAGTTGTAGCCATGTCAAGACTGATGCTGAGGAAGACCCCACCTGTCACAAGCAACACTCGTCAAATACAGCCACCCACCTGGGGACAGGTCAAGAAGCCGTCACAGATAGCGGGAGAAAACCTGAGGAAAGCAGGACAACCAGTCACAATGAATAATTGAATGGTAGCTATGATAGCGGTGATCACCATGGCCCTGAGTGTTCCTTCAACAAGGGCTGACACAGAGAACAATTATACTTATGGGGCATATTTATCAATCTTGGCTGGCAATAATGCCTGGATGTAATCACTCTATGACGCAGTTACACATGCTTTCTGGTCTCAGTATTTACCATAATAAATCTGCTCCTGTAATTGAAGTAAACAGCCCTCAAAAACCTATTTGTAAACAGAATTGGACCTGGCCAGAAAAAATGAACATACTTGTTTAGGAAGATTGCGTTGCAGAACAGGCAGAGGTGCTGTGCAACGATTCCTATGGAATCATTATTGATTGGTCCTCTAAGGGGACATTTAGCTTGAATTGCACCTTTCAGTCTGCCACACTATGCTCAGCTGGTCTGAATAAAATGGTCAGATGGTAGAAATGATAAGAAATATGGCAAGAATTCCTATTATCTGGAAACATGGCGGTATAGTGGCACCTCAACCTCAAATGATATTGCCCACTCTAGGAGCTAAACATAAGAATTGGGGAAACTATTAAGAGCTCTTAATAAGATCAAAATTTGGGAAATAATAAAAAAGCATCTAGAAGGATACTCTACAAATTTGTCTTTGGATATTGCAAAATTAAAAGGACAAATATTTAAAGCATCCCAGGCACACCCAACCTTAATGCCAGGAACTGGAGTGTTGAAGGACCTGCAGACAGAATAGCAGCTAGTAACCCATTACAATGGATAAAAATCCTTAGAAGCTCTGTGATTTCAATGATGATGGTGCTTTTAATCTGCGTTGTTTGTCTTTGTCTGCGGATGAGGATCCTGACTCCTGCAAGAAGTAGCTCACTGTGACAAAGCTGCCTTTACTTTTATTGCTTTGCAAAACAAAGAAAGGGGGGCATGTTGGGAACAGGCCCCCAAATCTGGCCATAAACTGACCATAAACAAAATCTCTGCAGCACTGTGACATGTTCACGATGACCATGACATCCACGCTGGAAGGTTGTGGGTTTACCGGAATGAGGACAAGGAACACCTGGCCCACCCAGGGAGGAAAACCGCTTAAAGGCATTCTTAAACCACAAACAATAGCATG